GAACCTTGATCCTCCCATTCAAAAATACGCGTTCTCCCAGCCATAGAATCAATTTGCGCAATTAGCATAAGAATCGCACAGGGCGAATTGCGGCATCAAGCGGCATCCAAGCAGCTCAGAGCAAGGTGAGACAAAGTACCATGCAAGGAGGTCCCGTATGCGCATCTCGGTTTCCAGCTCCTGTACAACTCGACATCCGCCGCTTCCCTGTCAAGGTTGCTCTTCCGTTGAGCACGAAAGTTCAAGGGCTCTTAACGAGCGCAGAGGAGCACAGCAGGACGATAATCACCTACGCTGTACTTCTCCTGCTCTTGACTAGCGATGCGAGAAAATGCAGAACCCAACAAAAGAACCGACAGATCTCAGAATCGAGATGACGACCAAACCACGGCCCATGTTCCACAGACTGAAATAGGGAGGAAAAGGCGAACCGAAGTTCACCAATGTCTGAGGCTCTACTGCTGTGTATGTAGGGAGGATGTTAGCAGCGGGGAGGAATGTCAACTATGTGGCCATGAGGGTGAATGGTGTCCGGATTGCTTGCACAAAAGGAGATCTGTTGACCAACCACACGAACCGAAGCGAATAAACATCATGATGCTAAGACAAGCCTCAATCAAACAAGTGCAGTCCCGGCGACCCATCTTAGCCAGGCTATTGAGATCAATGAAGACCCGGAAACAGAAACAGACTCTGTGCTCAAGATGTTGCTTTATTCTAAACTGAAGCAGAAGTGGAGAGAGCAACAACAAAAACAGCAGATTTGAATTAATCAAGCCATCAAGTGCTGCAACTGTGAAGTAACTGACTCAGCAGTCAACAAATGTGCATGTGAGTATGAGTATTCCAGAATATGCTTTCATTATTCTGTTGACTAGTTGCAAGGAAAATGATTGATTACCCAAAAATAGAATCTTGCTGGTTACATTTTCATAGACTTTCAGATCAACAATTTTTCCAACAGTTTAAACATGCAGAATGCCTTCATAAAAAAGCTTCTCTAGATTTTGACTCTATCAACTTTCAGACCAGTTACAATATTTCAAGATGTAGAATGTATATTGCAATAGATTAGATAACAGCACAATTAATTATGACTACTCTTTGTATGTTTCATTCACTGAGAGATAATTGAGAGGCCATGTAAATATCAGCTTTAGTTAGGTGAGATGGATCTGCTCTTAACATTTCAAAGATGATAAGAAGCGGTTTTTGCCTTCATTGACATCCTCTTAAAATATTTCCCACAAGCCAACCCGGTAGATTTTGTCTTGTGGAGATGGTGAGTTCCACACCATCTATTCATTCTCTCGATACTAAGAAATTTCAGGAGCTCAATTCCCTCAGCATGAGAAAGTCAACCACATGTTCAACTCATCAGTGAAAATATCACAATAGAAATTTCACTGATTGTTTGACCTGCAAGGCAAGGCATGTCAAATGTGATGAAGCAGCATCTGCCTGTTGCAACTGCATAAAAAGAGGTTTGCACTGTGATGGTGCTCAGAATGAAATACTCTTCAAATTCTTCAACCCCAGCCAGGCGTTGTCCAGTTTTGTAAAGAGACAGCATAAAGCTTTTAGAAGGGAAACGGCCCAAAAACCATGGTGTCTCCAGCTCACACTCATTGCCATATAAGGACCCAACTTCCCCCTGTCTACGTTCCGTGGATTTACAAAGTGAGATCCACGCTTCCACAGAATCTCTTGCCATGGTGAGTCTGCTATTCTTCACCTACTTAAGGAGAGCGCAGCTAACGTAGGCAAGGACAACCCCACCACTGGTGACGGCAAGGCCCCGTTTCAATCTACTCCCAATGATGAGGCTCGCGATCTCCAGTCCCATTCATCCAGCTATAACCCGTACTCGATCGATGAAGCTAATTGCTACTCAGACTATTCTGATATCCGTGGTGATGTATGGAATACAAATGGAATTGACATCACCAATGCTAACTCTAAATAGATATGTCGCGGCGATGAAAATGCACCCTTGGCTTTCATTGTTTTCATCTCAGAGTCTGTACTTCAAGAGCGGCTGGAGTATCTGAAGGCTTCGGAGCTGCACAGGCTACGCAGTGTCTTTCGCACATTCTCCGAGCATAGAGTTGATGGACCTCTGGCATTACCATACGCGCTCTGTCTGGTAAAGACTCTTCAACAACACGCAGGGCAGCAATTGTTGATGAACAGATTGAATGATACCATCCTTTTCCTCTCCACACGATTGAGAGGGCTGCTGTCAACACCTCTGTTTTATACTCATCGAGGTCGCATAAGTCGTGCATCACTTTTACTTCAACGACCGATGTTCTACAAGCGTTCAGACTTGCCAGGAAATTTCTGGCAAGAGAGCACTGTTTTGAATTTCAGCCTGGATGGCCTAACTGTGACATTGCTCCTTAGTAATTATCACATTCTCAAAGTGCCTGATGAGCTTTGGAAGGGGTTCAACTCCTTGACTTCGGGTATTGCTGATGCGGCCGTGATGTTTGGCGTTGGCTAATGTATTTTATGACTTTCTCGGCCGGTCTGCTACTGCAGGAGGATAGTGTTGTTGGTTAATTTTATGTTCAGGTACAACGTCTTAGGGTTGCCGTAGTACCATCCAATCTCCTAATTCTTCACTCATTCGCATTCGCCTATTAGCATACACACTCTTAATGATGATTTTTCACGCGGGGACCCATATAACGCCACATTGCTGGCGGGAGAACACGAAGAATCGAGGGGTGAGCTGTTCAAAATGAGACGCATCCTATTTACACACTGGTTGCATGCGCTGATCCCATAACTGGTACATGTACTGTAGGCCATTAGCGCAGACTAGGGGCCGAAGGCAAGGCATATAAAACTATGGCAGGGGCAGCCATTCCAATAGATTGTTTAAGCACACTTTTTTATTTCTTTTTTTCCCCTTCTCCGTTTTCCTTGTAAGCAAGAGTGGGCGGATTGGTATGGTATAAGAATGCTTGATTGCCCAGTGTGTCTGCCCTGAATCATTCAATCAAACCTTTATTCCTACGAAGTTTTCTGAGGCACGCACATATAACGTCATTGGCATTATAGAAGATAGGTAAATAATCCCTTACACACTGCAATGCAGGTATCAAGGTTTGCTCACAAATCTATCAGGTACCGTAATGGCAGCTACAGTCCATGTCTACCGCATTCACGATCCGGAACCCTCCGTGATTCCTCGCACTGGGCTATCCCCTCAGTATGCCTATGGAGCCCATGTGTTTCGTTGGAAAGAGTATTTGTTTATCGCCTCCAACAAGAAGCCGAATGTCTCTGGAGTCCAAGACATTTCTTTGAAAGGGCTCGGCGATGAGCAAGGCTTTCTCCACACTGCAGCTGCTTCTCGGAAAGCATCTCAAGTTGTTGAACAAGCATATCTGAAGATTATAAATAACGAAGAGCTCACAGGAGAATTTACAGCTGTCTGTGACTGTTGCAATGCAGTGATGGTCGAGTATCTGGAAACCATGAAGACTGAATGGTTGAAATTTGCCGAGGCATTCAAGTCTGGGCTCCAATTCCTTCTTCAAATGACTAAGGAGGCAGAAGTAGAGAAGGCTCTAAAGCAGTTGAAGAATTGTCTGCATATCCTCAGAGATAGCATGGGAAACATCACCCATGAACAACAAACAGAGAACATCCAACAGCTCAAGAGCTGGGTGCTCGACTCCCTCTTTTGTCTTCTCAGGGATTGTCTAGGCAGGATGGAAATGATCAAATGGGTATTCAATATGGCTAAACTATCTAAAGGGCCATATGAACTGCTCCGTCTTCGGGGTGATTTGATGTACATCAAGGAACGATACAAGCAGGGGATAGGGGAACTGGGTGAGAACCTGGCCCGTCTGACGGCAAATGATGATGCTGCAACATCAACCCTGGTAGGTACTTCCATTTCACCTGCTGCTCTTCTCTGCTCACTGTTTCCAATAGACTGGAAGGTCTACTGTCCATCAAAATCTTCTGCATCTATGCATTGTTCTTCTGGAGTCCAAGCCTTCAACCACGGCCCACCGCCTCAGACAGCAGCTGGATATTATGAACTGGCAGCAAACCAACTGGGAAAAAATCTGCAATGAATCCGATGATCTTTCTGATGACAATTACATTGATATCACGCTTACTTTAGAGGACCTCCAGGCATTTGAACGCATCGAATTAACAGGAGAGATGGTGAAGGAACAGTACACAGCTCTGATGAGAGAACTGAGAAGGCTCGCTGGTGATATAGTGCCTGGCGTACTCAAATGTGATGATTTTTCTCTCGCTGCGAACGTGATCCTAATCTGCACATGTATTGGGATCCATGCGGTCGCCCCCCAGCTAGAGGACGATTTCTATGCCAGGACGGATTTTGAGAATCATGCTGCTGAGCTCAGCAGATCACCACTGTACCGGGAAAAGCGGATCTCTTCTGAGGGCGCAGCAGACGAACTTGACCGCATTATCCTCCTTTTACAACCCAACCGAGACCCGGCTCCGTCCCCTGAAATCAAAGACGGGGATGTCTCCCGCCTACCGCTGCCTGAGAGGCCGTTGGGTAAAAGACTGAGTGATGGCAATTTAAGCCAACAGAAACGGTCGAAAATTTCGGAGGCAAGTGATTTCTGGTGAAGTTGGTTGTTCTAGCTAGGCGAGCTACAAATGCCGGACAATCTTTGAATTCTTTATTGTTTCGTAAATATCAGGCGCAATTGGGATGCACGTGACTAGATCACGTGCATCCTTGTTTTATGTGGGATGGTTGATCTTCTCATTGTGCGATCGCTAGCTAACTATATATAGGGGTAATCACGTGCGGTGGAGGGCCGCCTGGGCAACTAGTGCCCAACACCCCCCCACGCGCCAACGTGCGTGATGTGTTCCTACGAATCTTCCATGCTAGCTATCTCAACTTGGATCATCCCAAAATCATGCTACATACAGAAATTTAATCATTCTCACTGTTACCAGCGAAAAGTCCTAGTAAATCAATGAAACGCCTAAATGCCACTGTGCCCAGAGGTTTGGTTAATCCGTCTGCTACCATATCCTCAGTGGGAACGTGTTTAATAGAAATAACGCCTTCGTTCAATTGCGTGCGAGAATAGTGGAAGCGAGTGTCGATATGCTTGCTGCGTGCCGTGATCGCGGCAACGGTAGCTAGGTCGATTGAACCTTTGTTATCTGCCCTGATAGGCAAGGGGTCCTTTGCTGTAACGAATCCTAGTTCCATCATCATATTGCGCAACCACGTTGCTTCGCGTACTGCTTCGCTAAGTGCCACGTATTCTGCCTCATTTGAACTTAAAGAAACACAAGGTTGTTTGGACGAACGCCATGAAATTGGTGCACCTGCTAACTTGAATATGAAGCCTGAAGTAGATTTGCGTTCGCCGTTCAACGGTCCTGCCCAATCCGAATCTGTATAACCTATCGGCAGATATGACGCGTTGGGGAATTCATCGATCTCGTTCTTGGGGCCTTCGTATAAGATGCCAAGGTCGCTCGTTCCTTTTAGATATTGTATGACGCGGAGGAGAGCCCTCCACGCCTTAGGTGTAGGCGCAGTATTCTTCTGCGCTAGTAGGGATGCTGCTCGCGCAATATCTGGGCGTAATTTGACTGCCAGATACTGCAAGCACCCTACTCCGTGTTGGTATCGCTTTTTGGTGAACCCTCCTTCTCGTTCTGACACAGGGGTATCGTCTATCTTCAACCCTTCAAGTATTGGTGTAGGGACAGGGACGGCGTCATCTAGGCGGAAATCTTGCACTAAACGATCGATATAGCGTCTCAATGTCAATTTTATAGCACCATCAGGGCGACGTTCAACCTCCATGCCTAAGTATTTTGAAGGTTCTTTTAAATCCTTTATTTCTAATTTATTGGCGAGGGTGTCAACTAGCCAATCGGCATCTGCCAGATCCTCTGCTATAATATGAAGGTCGTCCACGTAGATTGTCATATAAAGGTGATTGCGGGACGTGTGGCGCCATAGAGCAGGGTCGTAGGGGCTAGGTTTGAAGCCATTCTCGCGGAGTAATGCCGTAAGGAAATCGTACCAAATCTTAGCAGCAGGGTCCAATCCGTATAGGGAGCCTCCGACAGCGCAAACCATCGCGTGTGGAGTCCCCACCTCAAATCCGGTAGGTTGCCGCATATAAATCGTTTTACCAAGTCGGCCGTGTAGGTAGGCCATCACTATATCGACCTGGCGCAAGGTCCAACCTCGCTTCGCTGCTATCGCGAACATCATGCGATTAGTAGCGTCATTAACGACGGGCGCGTATGTTTCTTCGCGTGCGCTTTTCTTTAACCAATTACCGCACACTACCCATCGAGATTTTCGTAATATACCATCAGGATCCGCGTTGGGATCCTGGGGGCGATCTTTTTCGACATAAACCCAGCGGCCGGGGGCCACTGGCTCACCAGAAGGGACGTCAGAACGTGGGATCATTGTCCAAGTGTTCCTTCGTTCCAAATCTGCAATCTCGCGTTCCATCGATTTCTGCCAATATTCGCCAACCCCCCCAGGTCTACTAACGGCATCCTTATATCCTTTCGGAACGGAACCGGTGAGGGGAGAAGGAACGTAGGTGGCGAACGCTTTCGCTGGTCTTACCCATTCGGCGTCAGCTAATTCAGGAACGGTAGTATCATCAACAAGATAAGTCGCTGGACTTGCAGGTTCGGGTGTCGTGTGGTTAGTGTCATCCTGCGAGGTTGTAGGTTCCTTTGCAGGGAAAACGACATCACTGGTGACAATTATTTTATCAGTTGTAGGACTCCAGAGGCGGTAGATTGAGTTACCACGGAATCCTATAAGTTTAAAAATTTCTGCCCTAGCGGACAGCTTGTCAGTAGGTTTTTGAGATCCATGAAGGTGCGCGTAAACATCAACACCTAGCTCCCTAAAATGGCGAAGTTGGGGCGGGGCGTTGGTTAGTGCTGAGAATGGGACCGTATAGGGGCATCGCGCAGGTGCTTCGTCGGCGTTGTTGGTAGGCCAGTATTTCTCATTATACAGGGTGGTAGATGTTGGTGTGTTGTTGGTAATTGCAACCACCGTTTCGAGAACGTCTGCCCAGAACTTCTTCGGTATATTCATGCCTAAAAGCACTGCCCTTGCGCGTGTCATTATCGTACGGATTCCTCTCTCAGAAACACCATCTTGGTGGGGAGATTGGGGCGTAGTAGGTTCCCAGATAGTGCCATCTTTGGTCATCATTGTTGTCATCTTGTTAGATCGAAAGACACCATCGATATCAGTCCTAACTAGCGCCGGTGGCGTGAAGCCGAGATTTTTCATGAATTGGACCCAGTGAGCGTAAATTTCGACAGCTTGGTCCTTGGTATGTAAAAAATAGATCCACCTGTAGCGGGTGGCGTCATCGGTGATGAGCATATAATATTTGGTCCCTTGACGAGATTCGATAGGGTAATCGGACATGTCATCCAGCGTACGACCACCGCCAGCAAGGTCGATATGAACACGTTGCATTGCTCGCAACGCTCGTGGCATGGGAGTTTGCGAGAACTTGCGTGTCATGCCTGCTTTGACGCAGCTATCGCAGAAGAAGCCTGTTTTAGATCCTTTGATGCGGATGCCGGATGATGGGTCCTTCGCTAGTGCAATGATCGCGCCAGCGTGGATATGCCCTAGTGTGACGTGCCATTCCATGAGTGTTCTTGTCAGGGGGTTGCGATCGCTAGGTTGATCGTTAGGTTTCCCCGCGATTGTCGACATTGCCTCCCCGTAATTGTAAGATTTGGCCATAAAATGGACGGCCTGGGACGGGTGATGGACGTCTATTTGAGATTCTCGTTCTATTATCTTGTAGACCGATTCTTTGGACGTGCGAACAGCGGTGAAGTTGGCACCGTTCGGGGCCCTTATTGTAAAATAGGAAGGGGTGGTATCTGATAGTTGGTATCTGAAGCCTTGATCTTCTAGCTTCGCAAAGGATAGAAGGTTGACTGTTAGATTGGGGATCCAGTGGACGTAACCCACTGAGATATCCCCCCCTTCTGATTCTAGAAGGATATCACCTATCTCCTCAACCCGTCCTACGCCACCGTCCGCGGTAGTAATTTCTAAATCACCTTCGAACGACTTTGCGCGCACCAACGAGTGCCTTTCACCCGTCATATTGAAGCTTGCGCAGGTGTCGAGATACCAAGGTTTGGATGTTGTAGCGGACGACGTAGATAAAGCAATTGCTGCGTTGGCATTAGGTTGCGATGCAAGGAGATCTGGCGCTCTGGTGCCAGTAGGTTTGTCGTCATCCTTGTCCTTCTTCTTATCCTTTCCCTTCTTTTTGGCACCTTCAGTGTTGTCAGTGCCCTTATTATCCTTATTCTCTTTCCTCCACCACTCGGGTGCTTTGTCAGGGTTCAGATGATAGCAATTAGCCTTTATATGCCCTGGGACCTTGCAGTATCCGCACTTTGCGGTTGCGGCGGAAGTTGTGTTGTCATTATCATTGGTGGCCGCGTTGGCCTTTGGAGCTTTAGGGCGTCCAGTACCCTCTGATTTACTCATCCGGTGAGCAATTTGTTTTGTGAGATCGTTGATATCTAGGTTGACAATCGGACCCTGACCCGTCCCGTAGAACGTATCGAGGCGTGATTTAACATAGGTCCTCTGATAATCTCGGAGGCCGATAATAAAGAAATCATGGAGGTAGTTCTCACCACGGTCCTCCGTTAGTTGTCGCATGCGAGCAGACAGGTATTGATATCGGCGTACGTATGCCAGGTAATCACCGTCCTTGACATGCAAGTGGGTAAATTCTTTAAGGATGTTAATCCTTTCTTCCCCTAGGGATATCGCGTATACTGCGCTTACCTTGTTCCATAGGGCCGCCGCGTTGTCGGGTTGAATGGATCCCATGGTCAAACGGACAGAACCTACTAGGGATTGCAACATGCGACGGAAGAGAAGTTTTGAACGTATCACCCAATATCGCTGATCGAGCGATGATAAACCTTCAGGTGGTTCCTGTTGGTTCTTATTAAGAATATCTGCACCACCGATCACTTCTGCATCTGACAAGAACGCCATCTTCCACGTCTGGTAGTTGGTGCCATCGAACGTGGTGACGGACTTTGTGTTCAACGAGGCCTGCGCTTCCTTCTGGTATTCGCGAGCCAGCATGTTCGGATCTTCTTCTGGTATAGGGTTCGGAGGAGGTGGAGGTGGTGGAGGAGGTGGAGGAGGTGGCGGCGCGCGTGCTGATATCAGTCGCTCGCAGAGTGCAATGAGATCTGCTGCTGCCATGGTCACCATGCCGTTAGGATTCGGCGTAGGTATCGGCATAGGACTGGGCGTGCCATCCTCGGATTCCTCGCGTTCTGGCATCTTGCCAGTATCGTGTGCTGAGCCAGAGGTTGTCATATCTTCCTCTGCCATCGCGTATTCAGTTTGATCACCCTCCGCTTCTGAGCCGGATTCTTGCTCAGTAATAGGGGGGAAGGATTGGGGGACCCTTGATTGCGAACGTAGTGTCTTCTTACGTCCTGATATTGGGGTCGCAGGTAATCGAGAACCACTCATAATCAATCTGACTTAGGGAGGTTCTGAATGAAAATAAATAAATAAGTTTTTGATCCCTTCAAGATAGTAATGAAATCTCTGCAGCAGTCTCGACAGCAATTCCGTCAATTACACCACTTTTATAGGCAAAGAGCTCTCTTTTCAGGGGAATAATGTTTAACTCATCCAATATAACATCAGTCGCAGCGTATTCTAATCAAAACGTCTGTTTTTCTTAAAAATCTGCAATCCGGGCCATAACCTGTGGGATGGTTGATCTTCTCATTGTGCGATCGCTAGCTAACTATATATAGGGGTAATCACGTGCGGTGGAGGGGGTGGGCAACTAGTGCCCAACATTTTATTTAATCACGGCATCCTGCTGCGAGTAGACATCTTAGACAGTTCCAAAAACGCAATAAATTATCTACGTCGCCAATAGTCGACTTGTTGTACAACGCGTGTAAGAATTGTGGAGTGAAAATTAAACTTCAATACCAAGTATGCGTGAACCCTTGGTTCTCGTGGCAATTCTGACACTGGTTGAGATGCTGGCGATATACAAGCCTGGGCGCCCTTGTCTGATTTTGTACAGGACCATACGTTGTTTGTTCCTAGTTGATACTTTGTTAAAATCGAAGAAAAATGATTGGTCAAAATAGAACATCCTTGCTTTGCGCGCCAAATGAATACTTGCATCCGGAAAATTAGAATTTCCGGGTGCTGAGTGATGAATTCTGCCCAGTTGTAGGAAGCTCTCCGATTTTACACTTCTATCAGACTACAAAACAGCTTGAACCTGAACTTTGACAGTCAGATCTAAATATGTTTATAAACTCCCAAGTGTGCTATTTATCGAATATATTCTTGGCACCTTATTGCTGATCCGGGAAACTATACACGGCTAGAATCAAGGGATGGGCTCGCGTGGCTTGTACGGGTCATAATAACCGCCTTGCTGCATATTTTGATGGAAGATGGCCCTTGGAGCAAGCATGCGCAGTTTTGGTACCGGCGCCTTCTTGTTGACCCGGGAAACGATGCACTTCTAGCATCGGGGGATGGGCTTCCATACCCTGTCCCCTGCACCAAGTATCAAGCCAAATTTTTGTCTCTCGCTTGGTTTGACAATTGTCACTAGCCCCTTGCCTCGGCCATCCACACTTGTTACTCACGGGAGGAAGTTGCTCCCGTAGCAGCATGGCCTTTTGCCTCGTTATTCACATGCGCCCTGTTACATGCCATGCACCGCTAGAATCAATTGCAACTCGTGGCTTGTACGGGTGCATATCCCGAGGGAAAATTCCCCTGCACCAAACATGAGAAGGGATCTTGTCATTTAGGCCTGCATGAACTCGGCTGCCTTGTTATGCGCATGCGCCAGGCGTGCACCAGGCGCTGGCCCCGGCAGAAAGAGATTTTAAAATATAGGTTCTAAAAGGATTCCGGGTTTGGTAGTGTGTGGTTTGGGCTGCAAAAACAGTATCTTCCCCCATAATTTGCCTGATTGCTAAACTCAACCAGATTAATGATTGAGAGGCTACCAGTGTGATCCAGCTGCAGTTGCTGTGCCACGAATTCTTTGCTTTGGGGATTATACAGTCCGGGTTTGGCTGTATCATCTTTGTTACTTGCATGCGCAGTTTTGGCACTCAGGGCCTTAATTGACCCGGGAAACGATACACCGCTGGAATCGGGGGATGGCCCCTGCAGCAAGTATCAAGCCTAATGTTTGGTTTTCGCTCGTTTTGACAATCACCACTAGCCCATTGCCTTGTGCAAACGCAGGCTAGCCATCCAGGCTTGTCCTTATGCAAGGGAAGGGCCATATGAACCGTTTGCCTTGTTACGCGCCTTGTTACATGCATGCGCGATTTTGGCACCGGCACCCCAGTCAAGAGGTGGACTGTCAAAAATGGCTACTCCGCTTGGCAGTCTGTGATTTCTGCTCATTTTTCATCATTTCCTGGTTTGGCTGGTTATCCGCAAGCATAAAGGGATAGGAGTGATCCTGTCTTGATCTGTATTTGATATACTGGTCTTTCCTAGAAGCCTCCCTCACAAGCAACATCTTGCCATATCCTACCCTCCCATACAGAACAATTTACTAAGCCCGCTTTCAACCCCTCCTGCTTCAATGCAGTCTGCCATCGGCATGGATTCATGTCGCCATTCTTTCGCTCCCCAGGCAGGAAACAGCGTCGACGCATATGTTCCGAGTTTCGTAAACCGAGACCCAAGATATGACCCGCTACATGTCGAGAATTCTCCTATTAATGGGGTAAATGCGAATAACCACATTGGTCTGCTCCCTCACGATATCAGCTTATCGACCCCTGGTGACAACCGAACGAACCTGGGGAGTGAAAAGTAAGTTTTTATACACTCTTGCAACTTGCCGCCAGAATACTATTCTTTTACAAGAGGCTTGGCACATGTTGACGTTTCCCAATTTCAGCTTTCGGTTCAATGTCACTCTCAAGGCAGCCACAGCAATGGTAAAAGACCCCGATGAGATACCCATTACGTATCTTAACAAAGGCCAAGCCTACACGATGTCAGTTCTGGATACAGCACCAATGACATCAGGCGCACAGCCTTTGAAATATCGCACTTTTATCCGTATTTCTTTTGAGAATGATGGACAACACTCAAAGTCAGCCAGTTGCTGGCAGTTATGGAAGGAGGGCCGTGGCTCCATCGAAGCCCATCACCGGGATGGAAAGCTTTTGGTGGTAGAACTCGTGGACCCCAACCAAGGCGGAGATGATATAATACCATCTCAAGTTCATCTGGAAACTTCTAATTTCGACGGTTTCTCTGTTATTTGGTCCTCGAACCCTGCCAATGAAAATCCATGCTGCTCGATATCAGTTCGCTTCAATTTCCTCTCCACCGATTTTAGCCATTACAAAGGTGTCAAGGGAATTCCTGTTCGCCTATGCGCCAAAACAGAGGTTATATCTACTAGCCATGGAGATCCACCTCTTGAAGACCGGCCCGAAGTATGCTATTGCAAGATCAAGTTGTTTCGACATCATGGCGCCGAGCGAAAGCTTTCCAACGATGTTGCACATGTCAAGAAGCGTATTGACAAGGTGAAACAGCAAATCAGCCAAGCTGAACTCAGGTCTGGCTTTGACAAGAGAAAAAGAAGCGGCTCGTTTGTCAAAGGAAAGATCACAAAGCATAAAAGAGTGAGGTCTAGTGAATCGAGCAATGATTCAGGGAAATCAACTCTAGAAGGGGGCCTTCAAAACAAGCTGCGCACATTTAAGGACATGTTTTCATCTACTCACTCTTTCAGTGCTCTCAATTTGAAGGGTGATGCCTATGATGACCCAGACCTCTTCCCAGTCCACCTGGGAATTACCGACGAGGGATTCTCGCACACGATTGGGTGGGATGCGACGCAATGCATGAAGGCGGCTGCTCCAGCCGCATCCTCTCAGCATGTCTTATCACCCGCAACTGGCAACCGCTCGCTCAGCTCCTCTTATAACTCCTTTGACCGTCACGACTCGATGGATTGGTCCAGCATTTCCCAACAGGATTCCGGTAGCCTAGAGCATATTAGGAACGGTCGGTTCTTAAGCCCGCCTGGCAAAGCCTCCCATTTTATCACAACCATGGAGGACATCAAAGGCGGGGTGGAACACCTTGAGGGGATTAAAAAGGTTCTTGACGAATTCCCTGTTGAAAATCCTCAATCCGCCATCTTCTCTCAAACGCTTGAAATTCTTTAGCGAATGGTCTAGGATGCCATTGAATACCAAGAACACAGCATCACCCGCCGTACCTTTGACCCAGCTACCATAGCCGGACATTCTATCGCAGCCATGGATTACTCGATAGACGGGATGAAAAACTTGAACTCGATTGATGTGTGCATTTGCTAAGAGGAGGAAGGGGACAAAGGGGACGACCAACCACATCGAGAGGACTCACCAAGCGGTCGCGAACCTTGGGGCGTTTTGCCAAAGAACTTCGAGGTATAGCATAGTATTCCATGGAATCTTCTTGGGTTGAATCGTAAAGAGGCAAGAGGAGAAAGGACAACAAAGAGAAGGGATGCAACAAAAGAATGTCTGAGCCATCAACCCACAATTAAGAAATGAGATAATCTTCCCTGTTTGTCATGGCAGGCATGGAGCCTGACTTTCTCGTATCTCTTGAGTATTAAATCTGTAAAGGGGCGTCTCTTTCTTTTCCAGATCTCCAGCGCATGGCACCAGTGAACCTGCTTAGCAAGTGCGTGAGGGCAATCCGCTAGGCAACGCCACGACCGTCAACGCAGATTGTCAACGGTTCGCCAAGATAAAAGCTTAATTTAACCACACACCACATCAAGGTACTGGAAGATGCGCCAGGTAAAAGTCCCGTGATCAAACCGACGCGCTTATAAAATCCGGGCGGTTTCCTATGAAAAGGGGGAGCATGTAGTGTCAGTGAATTGCTGCGGATATTCCATTATTATGAGGCCCATCAGAGCGGCCAATTTGGTTTTTATTATAAGCTTCTGCAAATCCATTGGAGATAACCGGCTTCGTTCGCTCCAGCTTAGACCTCTTTAATGGTGGGATCAGCGTGCCGAAATTGGCCTTTTGCACTTTCTTCTCTTGGCCCAACAATGGGGGGCTCTATCCCACCCAACTGGAAGCGGCTGCGATCAACCGCCGTGTCAAAAGGGTTATCTTATGGCAAGCCAGGTACCTATAACTTTATAGCTGATAGATGATGCTGAATATCAAAATGTTTCAATTCCAAGTGGTGCTGTTTGTTATGGTTTTCTAACAATGTAGGGAATAGCAGGCCTCATTGAAATCCTCCAACAAAATTTGAAAACCCAAGAAAGCGGGATTATTAAAAAAAATCAAATAACAATGAAGGGAGTAAGCCAGCATAGAACAGCAAGCGCGCATCAGAAGGGGTATGTCATTGGAAATACTGCTGCATGGACACCTCACTCCAAGAGACTGAATTCTTCTCCGACCTTTACCAGCACCGGAACAGGATCCAGCCAAGTTCTTTTTTTTTTTTTTGTTGGAGATAGCATCTTTGGAATTTATTGCGCTTTTCACGGGGATAACAAAACTGGATCCCATACTTTTCAAACCCTGCGTCTTCAACTTCGTAGAAATTTTGCTGCCCAATTTTCACCACCGGCAAAAAACGAAATTCTCGCTTCATCTCAGCAGTCGACTTCTGCAGTGACGAGAAGTCTATGCTCTTGGCCAAGTAGGCCCATCAATTGGTTCCCCTCTGGGGAAACAGCGTTGGAGGGCGGGTTGCGTATATTGGCATTATTTTTGCATACATAAATGGAGGCTCGCCGTTCCAGATAGCCTAAAGCAGCCTGACAGCTTCTGGTTTTCGTTCCGCTGCACAAACGTTTGACTCGCACTGTCGGCGCATCTGTAAGCAGCAGAACGGGCAGGACGCTTTCGATTCGCGTTCGACATCACCAGGGCCAAAGTGGGTTCTCAAGGGGGCCTTGTGAGCATTCAGAAGGAGAGAACTGAGTGTTTTCTTGAAATATGATTTGAGATATCCCAGGGCAATTGTATCCGAACTGGAATTTCCCAGTCCTGAAATGCGGGTGCTGACCAGGATAAAAATAGTGACGACGAAGAAAAAGCAAGAGGAAACGAGATGAAGAAATCAAGCATAGAAAGCAAAAGAGAACAAAGAGAACAAAGAGAACAAAAGAGAACAAAAGAACAAAAGAGAACAAAGATCAAGAGAATTCAACTGTTAACAACTTCCGTGGACTCTTTGACGGGTGAGTTTATATGGTGGCTTGCTTGTGGCAAGGACCGCAAGTTCTGCAGGATCTCTACTTGGACCCACCGGTCTCTATCTCGTTTTGCCGCTCAGTTTTCCCTTCGGTTCCTGGCTCCAATAATTGTATGTACGTGGCACCGCACAATTGGATAAGGGCAACATGACTCACAATTGCCCGCGGAGGAGGTGATGATCATTCCGCACTCTGAATCTTGCTGAGCAGCATGCATTAGTGAGCGGAACGGCCCGGAACGCACGGGACGAGTTATTCCCGGCGGCCTTGGCATGGCGGTTACTTATTGTCATTGGCTGCAAACTGTCAGACGACCAGTTGCTCCTCTGAGTTTACCAACATGATTTGAAGGAAGAATTGTTTGCTGCCTGCATACATCCATGCTGAAAGACATGTGCCACTTGGCCCATCTGTATTGGTAAATGGTACTGTGCCGCTGTTATAAGTACTATCATACCACCCTGGCATTTGATCAGTGTCAAGGTGATATGCTCTCGAACAGGCAAACTTCCAACTGAGCTTGCTTATAGCAGTCTTCCATCCCCAGACCTCTACAGTAAGAAATGGCCCTTTAACTAGAGTGCAAGCATCAGTCTAATGAATTTGAACGCTGCGGTACAGATATGAGCAATAAAAAGCGCCTATTTATCTCTATTCACCACCGAGATGAAATGTCTCTTCAAGAGGGAATACGCAAGACGTACGGTGCATACCACTGGGGAGTTTTGTTAGCACCTAAGAAGTCCAACAGCCGCGACAACATAGCATACGACGTTTCAGACAGCGTTCAGTTAGATGAAACTAGGCAAGACCTGAACTCGGAAAGAGATTGGTTCTTCAGGATTAAGAACAACGTGAATCCGTTGGACAGTGGGCGGTTAGTCGGTCGGGTCATGATCGGAAAAGTTCCTCCGCAAACGACAGAAAATGATCTCGAAACCATCCTCAGGGGTGTTGCTCTGCCGGATAAGGAATCAGGAGAAAGATGTCGCCATTGGGTTTGGAATGCCATATCCACTCTACAAAATGAATCAGTGATACCGAACTTTGATATCGAAGAATTCAAAGTCTGGATATTGGATTATGCCAATCAATGCCTGGCCAACCCTAGTCCAAGCAATGTTTGTGATTATAAATAGACAAACTAGTTGCGCGAAACATTTCCTGGTTCATCGTAGAGTCTCCAAAGAAGGCGTTCTGCCATGAGCTCGTCCGCATATGAAGGAAGCTTAAGTTTGATGCTCTCGGGCCAGTCCGGCACCTTGAATGAAGTGTAATATGCCTTTGTTAGATCCCAATATTCTGGGTACCAGCCTGCAAGTGCCCAGTCAACAACTCCCACAATTCTGCCATTGCGAATGATAATATTCCGCGGAGCCAAATCTGAATGCGAGAAGAACGTCCGATAATTGTTGCTATGACAAGATGCAATATCTTCCCCAAAAACCTGAGCCGTGTTTTCCAGTGGAACGCCACCCCGTAAAAAAGAGTGGAAGCTGGAATGAGACTGAAATGGGCCGACTAGTTGACTCCCAATACGGTAATCAAGAATGGCACCACCCTGCGCGGATGCAACCACTCCTTCTTTGGGGGGATGAAGTGTTCGAAGTTGAGTCAAGATAGTTGCAATATCATTGAGAATGGTTTCTTTTTCCTTGGGTTTCAGGCCGCGCATCCACAGAGTTTCAAGGTCGGTACCTTGAATGTGATCCATCATTATATATATGCCCCCTGGTCCATTGTATGAACACCGCACTCGAGGAACAGGAATTGTGGTGTGTTCTGAGATGTAGAGAAGCGCTTCAAGTTCTGGGAGCTGGCACGGCCCTTTAATAACATGTTTCCGGCCGACCTTAACAACAGTTGGACCTAGGGATCCAAAGATTGACCGGGCTATTCTAAATCGAGTGTGAAGAATGATGGATTTCAAATCTAATAGCCATTCAAGAACAAAGATGGCGTTAGCATTGTCTCATTAGGTGATAGGAATTTGATTGAGCAAACCTTGTAATGCCATCATTTAAAGCTGAGGGTCGATTAAACACAACTGGCCCAGTACACTAGTGTTGGAAGGGATCAAAGACATGAAGAAAGGGTTTGCGTGAAGTTCATGATTAATTAGTTAACTAGTAAGTCACCCAAGTTACCACGTGACAAGTATGCTGAAACGGAAGAATGATACGTTAGGTAAGCTCGCAGAAGCTTTGTAACGTAATCGATAGTTAAGCGAGCGAGCCACATAAGCAAGCGAGCCACTTCCCACCTGCCATACAACAAGAATGCTTTTCAACAAAAATGTCAACCACTCAAAGAAATAAACTCTCTGCTCAAGAAGGAAGGCTTCTTTTAGCCATTCAAGCACTTAAAAATGATCAAATTTCAAGCATACGAGCTGCAGCAAAGCTGTATGATGTCCCTCGCTCAACCCTCACTCACCGTGTCTCTGGTCGTACAGCACGCGTGGACATTCCCCCAAAGAACCGAAAACTTAGCCTTACAGAAGAAGAATCACTTGTTCAATGGATTCTAGCCATGGATGAGCGAGGTCAGCCACCCCGGGTTGCAGCTGTACGAGAAATGGCCAATCTCCTTCTTGCCAGTCGAGGAATCAACCCCTCACCCACAGTGGGTGAATGCTGGGTACGAAACTTTGTCAACCGCCATGAAGAGCTGAAATCTAAATTCTCCCGCAAGTATGATTATCAGCGTGCACTATGTGAGGATTCTGAGGTTATCCGTGGGTGGTTTAGACTCGTACAAAACACCATTGCAAAGTATGGGATCCTGGATGATGATATCTACAACTTTCAGATGGGGGTTATTGGGACTGCCAGGGTCATTACTGGGTCTGAAAGAGCTGGGAATCCTAAGCTTGTACAGCCTGGAGATCGGGAATGGGTGACTGTTATTGCTGGAATTAATGCAACTGGCTGGGCTCTACGTACGATGATTATACTCAAGGGAAAGATGCACCAGTCCTGTTGGTATGAGACAGAAGGGCTGCCAAGTGACTGGGTGATTGGAGTCAGTGAGAATGGCTGGACCACTGACCAGCTGGGTGTGTACTGGCTGAAAGAGGTGTTCAACAAGGAGACCCTACCCCGTACGAAGGGCAGATATCGACTATTGATTCTAGACTGGCACCGAAGTCATGCCTCAGCTGGATTTGATCAATTCTGCTCTGAGAATCAGATTATTGCTCTCTATATGCCACCTCATTCCTCCCATCTTCTTCAGCCATTGGATGTTGGCTGCTTCTCCTCACTGAAAACAGCGTACGGACAACAGGTAGAGAACCAAATGCGGCTTGGGATCAACCATATTGATAAGGAGGAGTTTCTGGCCCTATATCCTGCAGCTCAGATACAGGCCCTGACTGAGAGCAACATTAAGAGTGGTTTTAGAGCAGCTGGGCTGGTTCCGTACGATCCTGAGCAGGTTCTCTCACGACTTAATACAACAATGCATACCCCCACCCCACCTGGGACCTCTCATAGCTCTCAGGCCTCCTGGGCCACTGCTACACCACATAATATACACCAGCTAGAGCAGCAGACTAAGAAAGTTAAAGGATATATTAAGCGCCGTACGCAGAGCCCACCCAGCCCAACTGATCGTGCCCTAAATCAGCTGGTCAAGGGATGTCAAATGGCAATGTATAGTGCTGCTATTCTAGCAGCTGAAAATAGGGAGTTAAGGGCTACAAATGCTAAACAAAAGAGAAAGCGAGAAAGAGGCCGTACGTATGTAGCTCAAGAGGGTGCTTTAAGGGTTGAAGAAGGCTTGGATCGCGTACGAAGGGTCAATGAATTGGAAGGAGGGGTGGTTGAGGCTGCTGGCTCTCAACCACGAAAACGTGCAGCACCACGGTGTAGTGTATGTGGGACTATTGGACATACTGCTCGTACATGCTCTAAGCATATAGAAATTATCTCATAATATACAGTAATTAATTGTATTCTCTTTGTTCTTGAGCTCTTTTATGCTCTTAACTCTGATTGCATGGTAGGAAGTGTTTCGCTTGCTTATGTGTTTCGCTCGCTTATGGATTACGTTAGCGTATTCGAAAATTCTGTCATTTCTTGGCAGTCAAAAACAACGCGTTGACACCATTTGAATCAATTATTGATTGAAATCAATTCTCATCATCTTCTGCCTCAATTTCTATACAAGTCTTATATGCTTTGATGATGATTTATTATCCTCTCTGCTCTGTTGAATGAAGCTGTGCTGATTTCTGAATTTAGCAATATATACATTGATGGCTGTGTCACAGAAGCAAGAGAATCTGTACCACTCTGAATTTTCTAAGCTGTATTCTTCACATAATCTACCTCCTTCAAAATAAGCTGACTTACTGCAATTGCCTCTTCTTAATTGGAAGCCAAATGATATAGCTTGAGAATGTCATGTTAGTTTTCAGACAGTCTTCCAGCTTCAGAGCAATCTACTGTGATATGGAAGTATTCAATCATCTCATTATCATCAACTTGACCGAGTCTGTAAACTGTTGTCTGCAGATGAGAAAGCACTTTTTGAATTCCTTCTTTATGAAAATTGACACCATCAGAATGAAATGATATACTGGCTTTGAAATGAATGAGGAGTTCAAACTAGTCAGTTTGCAATATTCAAATTACTACATTATCACAAATGGAATTGAAAGCTGCTTTAATATATATCTCTGTCTCACAGTGAAGCCCTGCGCCAGGTCTATATCAATGATATTACACAATTTTCTGCGGATGATCTGGTTTTTCTGAATAAGTCTATTTTCAATGAGAAGACTGACTGGCGAACTCATAGTGTAACGGGCGTACATCGATTAACGATCTAGCACTATCCTAAATACAGATTACGAATTGATTAAGGAAAGAAAGAGAAAAGAGATCAGAAGGAAAGGTTGTACGAAGGGGGTTCTTATAATTGCTTTCATTGCAAAGGTTTCAGCTGTCTCATCATCTTTCACAAAGAAGAAAGCAACAGACAAATCCTTCTGATCTCTGAATCTTCTCTGAAACTGCTGATGTGTCCATCCTCATTTGAACGCCATCTGAAGGCCCGATAACCAGTGCCCTGCATCAATCACATATGGCTATCACCACTTCCAACTCTGACATATCAAGCATGTAATTTTGATGAAACCCTGCCTTGGTCAATCTGCAGGTGTACACTGATATCAAAAAAGAAGTGCAGCAATTTTGTTACTGGCTGGGGAAAGGAAATGAGACAGTCTGCCTTGGTGCTCAAAGGGCGATGCAATCCTCCATCACTCAGAGCTCAGCAAGCACTCCGGCTTCAGAAGGCTCGCTCACTGGTCTTCCCTGTGGCCTCAATCGATCATCACCTGTTGCTTTTCCGCACAGATCTCCACGGACGAAAGGCGCCCAAGACATCTAAGTGCAGGAGATACAGAAGAACAGATTGACTGGATAAAACCCAACCATATAAAAAAAAATTAAAAAAATAAAAATAAATAAATAAATAAAATAAACCATTGGCAATCTGCGGTTCACAGTCGCCGATCGTACAACACGGCGAAGGCAAGCATGGCTGCAGATGTCCCGGCAGCCTAGACTCCAGATCAAGCAAAGTAACACCATGAGAGGCAGTGTGGATGGCTCAGAAACCAATGAAGCAGCAGCCTGTGAGGTCATCAGAAATCGTCCGTTCGGCGACTCCACAGGCACAAGAAGAAAAAGGGATGAGGGCTGGGTAAGACGGCACCGGTTCCCTGCAGGGGGGAGGGGGCAGTGCATCCAGGTGTGAGCAAGTGAGTGAGTGAGTGAGAGAGTAAGAGAAAGAGAGAGAGAAAGAAAGAGGAGGAGAGAGTGTGTGGTCATTGTGAGGGCGCGGGATGGGTTTTTATAGATCGAGCAGCCGGGGAGTTGAAGCGGCATGAGAGGACGCAAAAGTGGTGAGAGGCGACGCCATCCCTGAAGCGGCAACGGTGCTGCTGCAACGGGCCTAGCGCAGCAAGCAGACCAACGAGAGCGGCGCGCGGCGGTCTGGGCGCCCTGCTAACCAGCACAAAGTTATAAATTATATGAAATTCATTATACAAGCCATATACAGCTGCTTATATATCTCATTAATAATTATGTTCATTTGAGAGATTAAACAGGGTGTTTTCAAGCTGAATAAGCGAACGCAAGCGAGCGATTGCAGCTTGAATTTTATAGGTATAGGTAGATAGACTGATAATATGTATGGCATAGAACTCAACAGTTAGAAGAGATAAGTTAATAGACACTCTACACTCTCTTTACGCTCTCTCTACGCTCCCCATACAGAGATTCCCAAATCCCTTCGCGATTTGAGAACTTCCATAACCCCTTCGCTAATGTAATAAACAGATTCTACATACTTTTTTCCCCTTCTATCCGCCTTTTGTTGTACTGTACACTAAAAATGCATGATGAAAACAAAAAAAAAAAAAAAAAAAAAAAAAAGAAAGAAAGAAAGAAAAAGAAAAAGAAAAAGGTTACTCCCAGGAGCTAATCTTCATGGTCCCCTTCTCCTCCAAGTTCTGGTGCATCTTAAAAGCTTTGAAAAGCAGGTGTGGCTCGTGGCCCATCCCTTTCCGCAGACACTCGAATTCAGCGCGGTCGAAGTAGTCCTGGAGGATTGGTCTGTAGTCAGGGTGCGCGCATTTCGCAATGATCTCGCGGGCGCGCTCGCGGGGAGCC